AGCAAACATTTAAAGCCACCAAAACATTGCTTAAAGGACTAAGGTAAATGAAGACTGCATTGGTGAACAGATTCTCACTCAGTTTATTCTAAAAGATAGACCTCAGGCAGAATGAGATTGACTTTTTTGTAAATAGGTAGGTGCATTTCTAGGTGCTGGGGATATTTCAGTGAGGCAAACAGAAGAGAAAATATTGTCTTGGTGAGAATTACATTTTAGTTAAGTCACATGTCAAAAAGCATCAGAGTGAATGAGAGGACAGGAGGAGAAGGTGGACCAGGGAGATGAAGGGTGATGTGAAAGATGACCTCTAGTGGTTACTTGGGTCAGACCACCAGTCACCCTGGGTTTTGAGCAGAGGTAAGCATCATCCTGGCTGCTCTTATTTGTGTCCTCCCTTGGCTCTTTACTCAAGGCTAGCACTCTACCATGTGAACCTCAAGGCTGGCTCTCTACCACTTGAACCATAGCTCTATTTCTTGCTTTTTGCTGGTTAATTGGAAATAAGAATCTCATGAACTTTTCTGTCTGTGCTGGGGTTGAGCACGCATCTTCAGATCTCAACCTCCTCAGTAGTTTGGACTACAGGTGTGAGCCATCAGAGCCTGGCAACCTTATGAGTTTTGATATTGTTAGGACTGTCTAAGTTGTGAATACCTTCAAGTCCTGGGAAAACCTGGATTTTGGTCACCTTCAAACAGACCACCCTCCAGCAACTGTCTGTGATATGAAAGTGTCTCCACTGAATACTCCAGATTCTCTTACTTTTCCTATTGGCCTATTGGTTCATTCCCAAACTTTCTGCAGTCTGGGTTCCTACCTCTATTACTACCTACACATGGGGTTTATAAGACTTGTCGATGCCGTCCTCTTAGTGGGATCTGCTGGTGGATTTTCCACTGCTGACCAACTTCTCTGAAGCTTCATGTTCCTGTCATCCTGAGCCACATGCTTGCATAGACTCTGCCTGTTCCTTGGAACTCTTATTCATGGATTCTCACCCTCTATTTGTTTTCTGAAAGGTGATTTTCCTCCAGATTTTACACTTGATCATCTTCCCTTATTGCTCTATAAATCCTTTCTCTGGCTGATTTCACACAGTTCCAGGCTGCGAACTGGTCCCTATAGTACGATGACTTTGAAATCTATACTTCTCACCCATGCTCATAAGTCAACACCTGTGAATTATCTGCACATCCTCTCTGCACTTCAATAAAGTTGAGATTTTTATTATAATCCATCACTGCCTTCACCATGGTCTTTTTCCTCTTTGTGGTTGGAACCAGCCATTGTTCACCTGTGCTGCAAATGCAAACGTCATCTCTGTTGCATTCTCTTTTATCTCCTCTTAACCAACTATTAAGCTGTTCTGTTTCACCTCCTAGATAATTCTATATTCCTTTTATTTCTTCATTCCTACTCCTGTTTCCTAATTTCAAGCCCTTGCTGTCTTGTATAAAGACAACCATCACTACATTCTAGTCTTACCTTTGAACTCTTCCCTGAACCCTAAGTTTTTGGTTTTTGGTGGACTTGATAGAGCCAGTATATCATGGACTAGAAGCAGGTAACATAGCATTTTCATTTGGACATCTATGCCTTACCGCATCACAAGCTATCTGCCTGTTTACCTACCTCACAAAATAGTGAGCTTTACGCAAGCTTTATCTTTGTATCCCAGAGCCTGGGCCTGGCATGTATTACAACCAGAGAAAGTACTGCATATTGAACAGTGTTTCTATGACTGCTGTCTCTCCCATCCTCTTTCCTAAAGGATAAGAACGTGGTTTATGATATATATATATATATATATATACTATATATGATATATAAACAAAGATATAATATATATACATATACACCTGTGTATGTGTATATATACATATGCTCAAGTGCTATACATATAGCACTTAAGGACATAACTAGGTCAGAATGAAAGAAGGAAGGAATGTTGATATTCTCAGGCAAATGTCTGTAATAAATTGTTTTGAGATTCACTCACAGATGCAATTTAGAAGTAGTCTGAGAAGCCCAAATAATTAAAAACATGTTTTTAAAGCCTGTAAGCAAGCTGGGTGCCAGTGGCTCACGCCTGTAATCCTAGCTACTGAGGAGGCTGAGATCTGAGGATTGCGGTTCAAAGCCAGCCCGGGCAGGAAAGTCCATGATACTCTTATCTCCAATAAACCACTAGAAAACCGGATGTGGTGCTGTGGCTCAAGTGGTAGAGCACTAGCCTTGAGCTGAAGAGCACAGGGACAGTGCCCAAGCCCAGAGTTCAAGCCCCAGGACAGACAAAAAAGAAATTAAAGCCTGCAAACAGTTTAGAAAATGTTTTCCTATCCAAATATGAATATTTCATACAGTATACAGTATATATACTATATTCTTCTATTCCTCTTGAATGTTCCCAGAAAGCCTTTAACCTTCGTAATCCTACACAACAACATAATCATTTGAGCACAAAAGGCACTCCCCTCTCTTTCTTCCTTCTTTCCCTCCTTCCTTCCTTCCTTCCCTCCCCTTCTTTCTTTCTTTCTTTCTTTCTTTCCTTCCTTCCTTCCTTCCTTCCTTCCTTTCTTCCTTCCTTCCTTCCTTCCTTCCTTCCTTCCTTCCTTCCTTCCTTCCTTCTTTCTTCCTTCCTTCCTTCCTTCTTTCCCTCCCTCCTCTCCCTCCCTCCATCCCTTCTTTCTTTCTTTCTTCCTTTCTAGAATGAGTTTAAACAGTAATCAGACTTGCCTTAAATCCATTATTTTCCTGCCTCAGACTCCCACATGCTGAGATTTCAGGCATGTACTCTACACCCAGCTCAAAAGATATTTCTTATTTGGGGCTGGGAATGTGGCTTTGTGGTAGAGTGCTTGCCTAGCACGCATGAAGCTCTGGGTTTGATTCCTCAGCACCACATAAACAGCAAATGCCTGAAGTGCTGCTGTGGATCAAGTGATAAAGTGCTTGCCTTGAGCAAAAGAAGCTCAGGGACAGGGTCCAGGCCCTGAGGTCAAGCAAGCCCCAAGACTGGCCAAAAAAAAGGCATTTCTTATTTTGTCATTAGGGGACACAGAAAGTTGAAACTAAGATTGATCTAGAATATTATAAAATCCTATCTGAGGCCAGTAAAAGTTTTCCAACAGAACTTACATATATATGCATATTCAACTATGTATATATATAAACATATACATATATACATACACATATGCCTATACATATATGCTTATATGCCTATATACATACATGTATACCTATATACATATACATATATATATGAACAGAAATATACACTCAGACTACATTTTTCATCACAGTACTTTGAAATGGAAATGTTGGAAAGAATCAATATGTTGTTTGTAATTCATAAATACAGAATGAATGCTCAAACTACCAGCTTGTTTTGAATTTAGCTGTACTTTCAAAGCAAAGTGCAAAAGATTTAATGGAAATTTAAGTATAGCCTTCTTTATTAGTTAATTTCAATTGAGCTAAAATCATGCCAGCAATGTGGATGTTTTCTTTTTCACAACTAGGCAGCATTAAATGGTCCTTCTAGTGTTCTTAGCTTAGCTAACTGCTCACTGAACATTTCTATTATTTACCAGATATTTAGGGGCTAGAGAAAAGAGACACAGTTTCAAGATGATTTTTTTTGCATCTGATTTAGTTCAAGATTTCTGTCAAAAGGTCAGAACTGTAAAGAATAAAACCATATATCAAAGTCTTTTCACTTTTATGAGAAAGCAACACTTAGGCACGCAGAAATAGAATCCTATAATATTTAGAATGGGAAACTAAGACAAACATAGAGAGCTTTTACTTTCATTAATATTAAACAACTAGTTGTTTAGGTAACAACCAATTCATAGTGATAACAATCATTAACTAATTGCTTTCAGTTTAAGGGAAGGGATTTTATACAATAAGCAAATATAATGCAATTTAAGTACAGTTCAACATGTACATATATGTAGCACAAATGCGCATTGAACTCACCTGAAATCCGTAAGCTTACACATGAATAAATATGCTTGAATAGTTGTCATTCCCCGTGTTTTCTAGTTTCAAAAATACAACAAGAGAGGGGCTGGGAAGGTGGCTCAGTGGTAGAGTGCTTGCCTTGCATGCCTGAGGCCCTGGGTTTGATTCCTCAGCACCACATAAGAAAAAAAAAAAGCCGTAAGTGGTGCTGTGGCTCAAGTGGTAGAGTGCTAGCCTTGAGCTGAAGAGCTGAGGGACAACGCCCAGGCCCAGATTTCAGGCCCCACGACTGGACCCCCCCAAAAAAAATACAACAAGAGATCTGGGCCCCAGTGGCTCATGCTTGTAATCCTAGCTACTTAGGCGGCTGAGATCTGAGGATTATGGTTCAAAGCCAGCCAAAGCAGGAAAGTTCAGGAGACTCTTATCTTCATAAAGCAAAAGCAGCAAAAGCCAGAAGTGGAGCTATGGCTCACGGACAGTGTCTAGAACCTGAGGTCAAGCCTCAGGAGCAGCATGTGTACGCATGCTCACACACACACACACACACACACACACACACACACACACTATCTATCTATCTATCTACCTATCTAAAACGGAGACACATACTAGACTCCCAAAAATACTTGAATGTGCTACTTATGAGAGCTGTAATTCCTAAACATTTATGAGACTTTATTTTCAATAAAACACATTCACTTTGGTTTCATTCTTAAATGGGCTAAGATTTAGATTCATGTTTTTCTAAATTAGGTGGCTCTTAGAAAGGATCTAAATGAATAGTTTTACCTTGTACATATGAATACCTACATACAACCATCTCAAGTTTCTGCCCTACTCAGTCTTGTAAAACAAACTTCAGTTACCTGGATCTAGAGGGAATTATCTGCTTGAGTGATCTTTGGTCAGAGATACGGTAGCCAATTTTCCCAGGTTGTCCTACAACTTCCCAATAAGATACAAATCTAGTATTCCAGGTCCCTACTGAGAGATGAAATGAAATTTAGATAAGAAAGCCTTACCTTCACATCATTGGTGTTCATCCTCGTCCCCTCCTTCCCCACAAATATGTCATCAATGTCCACCAGGATGTACCTGTCCAAGGACAAGGCCAGCCTCTTGCCTGACAGGAAGGAGATTGCGTCGATGAATATCAACTTGTGCAGCCAGAAGTTCAAGTTGTTGCCAAAAAGAACCCTCTGAATTCCATCATGGAGGCCCAGGTCCTGAATGACGGTCGCATAGAAAGCACCTTTAGAGATGGGAGGAGGAAGGTTTTCTGGGGTCTTTACTTTGGCAAATATAACTGGTTGGTAGGCTGAGTGATTAATCTGAAAAACTGTCCAGTCGGTTCCAGGTAAAGAACTTTTGTCAAGCTTGGATGATTTGGTCACACGAAGCAATGGAGAATGAGGATTAACACAGCAATCTTTGACTGCAAGATTTCCGTAGATGGAAAGGGGGAAACCTTTCCATTGAAAACTCTGTAGTCCCTTCTCAGTAGACTTTTGGAATCCGATGACACCCACACCATATTCCAGACAGTATTTATCTAAAAGGCTTCGATTCCAAGAGTCCATGTGCATATACTTTAAGATATTCTCATAGATAATGAGAATATATTTGCCTTTTGCTTTGTCCGTAAGTGCTGGGAGATCTCCTTTTCCAGGAGCAATTTCAATGTGATATTGGAATCTGGTAGACTCTAGGATCATGATAATGTCTTGACCGAGAGATGAGTACTGGCTCTCCACAAAGACCAGGACTACGGGCTCTGTCTTCGAGGCATCTAGAAGCTTTGAGGTCTTCACACTCATCAGCCTATCTGTAAGGTGCTGGAGATCGCCACAGTCTACTTCTGAAGCCACCTCAGAGAGCTCACTGTCCTGTTTGTAGCCGCTGTACAGGTAGTAAGCAGAAATAATAATGCTCACCATGCAAAAGGTGGCAAGCAGCAGGACTGTCCTTTGAAAGTGCCTGTGCAGCTTCATGACAAAGCTCATGCTGGGTTTCCCTTCTTTGATTATCCCACCGGGAGCACCCCAAGAAGTCACAGCGAAGATGGCCGTCTCCGTGACTCTCCCAGGCTCAGGCATGAGTTCATGTCACCATTGCAGCACATCTGTATGGCTGCATCAGGACTCACAGGAAATAGAGCCTGAAAAATAGAATAATTGGAGGGGAAAATTGGATGGAATATCAAATATCCAGCCAGAGAATTAAAATGAGCAAACTTTAAAAACATAGTGACTAATAGTACAAATGACTGACTAGCATGCAGATGAGCTGGTGTGAGGTGAGAAAAACTTCTTGTTACTTCTTCCAGATGTGGGTGAGATGGGGCAAGACAAAGTGTTCCATGGGACACAGTTTTTGTCCTTAGTATGGAAAAATAACCAGGCTAACAAGATTTTCATCAAAGGCCTTATGTAATACTACAGACCTGACACCACACACAGGTTCCATACATGGTCATTTCCTGTCATTCAGATAACATGATGTAGTGCGTATTCAAGCTACATATATATAATTACATGGACTGAAACTTCATAAAAGTTTGGACATGTTGCACTCATGCCTATGATTAATTAATTAATTATAGCACAATGTATTCTGTCACTTTTGCATACATTTCAATTGGAGAAACAACCCTATAAGGATTGGTTTCATTAGGTAAAACAAAAAACCTCTCAAAATGCTCATCTGGTCCCACACCGAGTTGATCACTTCAGAATTGTACAATGAGATATATAACTATCTAGTTTTGTTTTTCAAAACTTGGAAAAGTTATGTGGTGAGATTACATGTGATTTCCTTCCACTCAGATTCACTGAGCATCATGCATTGGATAACATGTACCACTTCACCTCCTTCTACTTTTGGAAGAAGAGCTCAGTAATTACATGGAAAAATACTCTGTGTGTGTGTGTGTGTGTGTGTGTGTGTGTGTGTGTGTGTGCATGCTTGCTAAGTTGGCACAATACTGCTGAGCCACACCTCCATCCCTCCTTTTCATTAATGGTTTTAAAAATAAGATTTTGCATCCCACCCTAGCATGAACTTGAGTCTTGATCTGCCTACTTTCATGTTCTGTTGGTTTTTTCTTTCTTTTCATTCTTTTTTTGGTTGGTCATAGGGCTTAAACTCAGGGCCTGGGCACTGTCCCTGAGCTCTTCTGTTTGAGGTTAGCATTCTACTATTTTGAGCCACCGTTCTAATTCTGGTTTTCTGGTGGTTAACTGAAGCTTAGAGTCTCACGAACTTTCTTGCCGTGGTAGATTTGAACCATCCTTAGATCTTAGCCTCCTGAATAGCTAGGATTACAGACATGAGCCACCAGCATCTGGCTAGGTCTGCCTAGCTTCCAGTAGCTGCTGGATCACAGGTGCACTAGTGTGTCTAGCTTTCCTCCATGGAAATAGAGTCTCATGAACTCTTTGGCCTGTGCAGGTCCATAAACATCCAAATTTTAGTTGCTCTCATAGCTTGCAATGACAGATTTGGCCACTGTGCCCAACAATGGGTTGAGAAGGGGTCTTGTAAACTTTCCTGTCTAGATTGGACTTTGGTCCATCATCCTTTAGTTCCCAGCCTCCCAAGTAGTTAGGATTACAGGTATGAGCCACCATGCCCAGGTATAAATGTTTTAAACTTAGCATGGAAATGTTGAGATGTTAAGAAACACCTGGCCAGGTAATATAGCAAGTCCTTTGCAAGTTTTAGTAGCCTTTCAAAATTTAGTAATCTTGGAAAATAAGAAAAGAAAGCACATACATTTCTTAGAGCAAATGTTTAGTAAAATATGATCTGTCCACTTTGCACAGATATATCATAGTATATTAAAATTAAGGAAAATGTTTTTATATAGAAAACAGGCTAAAGGATAGATAGAAAGATGAAGAGAAGGTGAAAATCACCACTTGATGTTTACCATAAGATTGTTTCTTAATTGTGTCATTTTAGTTCCAGTACTCTCCTAATGAAATGTCAAGGTTATAATAAATGATAACTAAGAACTCTAGATTCAAAATTCTGTAATATTCACCTATGAAATAAGCAGTGAACAATATTTTGAGTAATATAATATATGCTTATCGTTATGAGTAATACAGTCTGAATAGTACATTATGACACTTGTTCTGTAAAGTATGAGTTATAGTTTAGTCATCAAAATACTTAGGTCACCTACATGATTCATTCAAACAGCAATGGGATAGTTATCTTTGCTTAAAATAACCAAGTTCAAGCCAGGTGCTGGTGGCTCACACTTTTAATTCTCACTACTTATAAGGTTGAGCTCTGAGGGTCTCAGTCCAAAGTCAGCTGGGCAAGAAATTCTATGAGACCCTTGAGCCAGTAGTGGTTCAAGTGGTAGAGCACCAGCCTTGAACAAAAAAGCTCAGGGATAGCACATAGGCTCAGAGTTCACTGTCAGCATGATCAATCAATCCATCCATCAGTCCAAGTTCAGCATACTGCGTTTCTCTGTTTTCAATTTTTTTTTTTTTTTTTTGGTCAGCCGTGGGGCTTGAACTCTGGGCCTGGGCACTGTCCCTCAGCTCTTCAGCTCAAGGCGAGCGCTCTACCACTTGAGCTACAGCGCCACTTCCGGTTTTCTGGTGGTTTATTGGAGATAGGAGTCTCACAGTCTTTCCTGCTCGGGCTGGCTTTGAACCGTGATCCTCAGATCTCAGCCTCCTGAGTAGCTAGGATTACAGGCGTGAGCCACCAACGCCCGGCTTCTGTTTTAAATTTTTAAACAGAGAAAATGATTAGAATGGTAATGTAAGGTTGTGGTTCGGGGTTAAATGACTCTAATGGCAATGGAAGAAAGAAGGTGAAAAATTTGTGCAAAGCTGTAGCAGGGAGATAGGATTTGGGCAGACCCGTAAAGGATAAAAGTGATTCAAACAGACATGTGGGATTTAGAAAAGGTAATTAAGGAAGGAGATGGTGCCCTATTTGGCAAGGGACATGAATGAAGCAGAAAGGGTGAAAGGGAGTATCAACAATGAATTTGACTATGTGCTCTCAACCCAGAGTATGGCGCAATCTGATAGCACAGAACTCGATGGCTGTGAAAACACTTAAGGAGGCCTTCGACATCCCTATTTATGAGCAAAACATGGTAAGAGAAAGGTTTTGGAGAGTTAGAATTAGCCAGTTACCTAGAAGATATCAGAATGGAGCCTTAGAGAGTTGAAATGAACCCGGCAATGCAGGCTGATTTCTCACATGGGAAGTGTCTGAGGAGCATTTCCGGTGGTGGGCTTTGGAGTGTGTACACAAAGCACCGCTCTGCCTGAGAAAATGTCATCCATGACTTGACATGCTTGAAAAATCAACCTAATACAAAAGACAATATTCGCCTCTCCTGCAACAACGCTAGTTATAAGTGTAGGCTTAATTGAAGTGAAACCCCCAAGAAATTACATGGACAAATGAAAGAGTTTTTCTGGTTAACTGTAATTATTTCATTTTGATAAGAGATTGTGTCTTAAAGTTATGTCCATGTCCATGAACATGATATTCTAGAATATAATGGCAGGACAGAAAATCTCACACCTTCCCATGTCTGTCTTACAATTTTAGCTGTGAACTGTTTTTGACTGAATGTAAAATATATAGCTACATTTTGCATTTTTTGAGAGCAGCATTTCACAGTTGGTTCCCATTATCAGAAGTGGCAGACAGGAAACTTACATAATACCTATCTATAAAATGAGGTGGGTGGTCAGGAGTAGTTGATCTTGCTATTTAGGAAAGATATTAGGGGCCCATCAAAGTTACCTTGTCTGCTGGGTATAAACACTGAAGGTCATGGCTTTTCCAGTAAACTCCTCAAAATTCTTTGTGATACCAAAAATAATTCCATGGTGTATCCCTGAAGATAGGAGTTTTTCTAATGTATTTAAATACATGAAGGTTGGAGGAGCTAGGAATCCATGGAACATTCCTCAATATAATAAAGGCTCTATATGACAAACCTACAGTTAGCATTATACTTAATGATGAAAAGTTAAAACCATTTCCTCTAAAATCAGGAATGAGACAAGGATGCCCACTCTATCTACTCCTCTTCAATATAGTACTGGAATTCCTAGCAAGAGCAATAAGGCAAGAGAAAAACATAAAGTGGATCCAAATAGGGAAAGAAGTAAAACTTTCCCTCTTTGCAGATCCTGTATTTAAAGAACCCCATTACTTGAGCTGATGGAGACTTTGGCAAAGTAATAGAGTATAAAATTAACCCACAAAAATCAGTAGCTTCTCTATATGCAAATGAGAAAAGTGAGACTGAAATCAGGAAAGCAACTCCATTTGTAATAGCCTCAAAAAAATTTAGGAATTATCTTAACCAAAGATGTGAAAGACCTCTGTAATGAAAATTTTAAAAATCAAAAAAGAAAAAGAAAAAAGAAATTAAAGCAGATTTAAGGAGATGGAAACACTTTCATACTCCTGAATTGGAAGGAATAGAATTGTGAAAAATAGCAATACTCCTAAAAAAAAAAAGAACTACCTGCAAATTCAATTTCATATCCATCAAAATCCCAACAACAGTCTTCAATGGCATAGAAGAAGCAATCCCAAATTCATATAGAATAATAGAAGATCCTGAATAGCAAAAACAATCCTTAGCAGGAAGAACAGTGCTAAACTTCAAACTCTATTACAAAGCCATAGTAATAAAAACAGCTTGGTACTGGCACAAGAACAGACCTGAGGACCAATGGAATAGAAAAAAAAGACCAAGAAATGAAACCACAGACCTATAGCCACCTAATATTTAATAAAGGGGCTGAAAACACTGGATGGAAGAAAGACAGCTTTTTCAACAAATCATGTTGGCAGAATTGGCCATTCGTGGGTAGAAAACTGAAGCTAGATCTTTATATATCACCATGCACCAGAATCAATTCCAAATCAAAGACCTCAATGTAAGGCCAGATACCCTGAAAATATTACAGGAAGATATGAGAAACAATTGGGCTCCTAGGTACAGGTCAAAACTTCATAAGTAAAGATCTAGAATCATAGCAAATCAAAAACTGGATAAATGAGACTGTACTGGACTGAAGAGTTTCTGTATGGCAAAGGACATAGTTAGCAAGATAAATAGAAAGCCCATAGAATTGGAGATGACCTTTACTAGCTATGCATCAGGCAA